TCAGACTGTTCAAGACTTTTTTTAATTCCGGTCAGCATGAAATTTAAGATCAATTTTACAATAACTAAAAAACAAGAACTGACATTAAATACTTGGGAGAGAGACAATTTTAAATTAATGCAAGAGGCATTTCCTAAATTATTTTAAAAAACAAATAGATGTTACCAATTGATTAGATTAAGGATCCCTGGGAACCCTGTCGACAATTTTGATACTTAGACATTTTAGTCGGTACTAAAAAGGTGTTTTGATAATCAGTCTCAATCAATGTGTGTCCCTCTCAGCTTAAGAACAGCATCTTAATCTGTTACTGCTGTCAAAAGCTAAACTGTATGATTTTTGTAGTGGTACCTCAAAGACTGTCTTGGCGGCGTAGCCCTGCACATCATCTCGGTTGATGACTATCTGAATGACGCGATACCACACCTCTTCGCTGACATAGTCTCCAGCAATGCGGATGAGGTTAAGAATGGTGTCCACGTACCAGGAATAATCCACAGCATACTTCTCTGCAAGTATGGCCACTTTCAGCACCTGAATGAGGGAGGCACAACAAACCACAGCTCAATCAGTCTGTCTGTCACTTTGTGCCAAATCAATCACGTTATTTATTTTGAAAACCGCTCATTATTAGACTTAAAGTTAGGTAAACTGGTTTGTCAGTGCTGGACTGATTTTTGATGGTGATGAATGCAATATGCAGCTAGTGCAGAAAAACCACCTACACCAATTGATCTATGGCTAAGCCCTGCCCTCAAACGCAATGAGCCAATCACAGTGCGTATAGCCATTCCCATACACTCGGACATTCTCTGCCTGGACGTCCATTGAAATGCATTACAGAAAGTCAGTTTCGTTCGGTTTAATGAGCTTTTTCTGAGATTCGAAGTTTAAAAATGGTCAAACGGTGTGCATGGGGTACATACAACTCCGACACAAGGTATCCTGAGAGGCTGGGTGACAGGGTGTATTTTTTACCCTTTCCTAAACCACATCTCAACCGAGAAAAGTGTCGCCTTTGGATAAAATTGTGCAGTAGACCACAACATCAACTCAACGTGAATAAGATTAACAAGGATGTCTACATCTGTTCTAAGGTAAGTCAACATCATGTTTGAGGCAACATATTGTCACTTTGCTGGAAAGAAATATAAAGTTATCTTTAACATCTCTAGCTAACGTTAGCTAAAGTTAGCCCAACGTTAGAGCCTAGCTGCGTTGTTCATCATGTCACCTTGTTTGCTGGGAGTTCATTAGCCTATTTTGTTCTAGTTTTTGTACTTTGGTGATCGTATGTCATTGTTAGCTGTTATCCAAAGGGCTCTAGTTAAACTAATGTTAACTTCTGGAGCTTAGCTTCATTAACTTATCTGTAATCACAGAGATAACAAAGGTTGGCAAACGTTATGCTGAATAATTCAATGTAAATACTGTAGCACCAATTAATTAACGGAGAGACACTCTTGGTAAAGATGGTAAAATGGCCGTTATCCTTTTCTCATATTCTGAGCCAGTGCAGTGCATGAACAATGCTGATCCTCTATCTTGTTGTCTTTGATTGTGACGGCAATGAGATGCGGTTTATCACGCTTACACTGGGACCTGTAAATTTTGGCTTGTAATTTAAGGTCTTCATCGACCTTCTCAACAATAAAATGATTAAAATATCCCTCCAATGTGTAGTTTAGGCCCTTTTGGTTACTTCTCAATGACATCTGATCGTTATATCTCCAAAAATCATTGACTGCCTCCTGCGAAATGCCGTGTACTGTGGCACCTGCCATAGCGCCGGTCGATGAATGTTGATATTTTGTCCGAGTGAGTGGAAGGGGGCATGGCTTAGCCATAGGTCAATTCTTACTTGACATCTGGAGAGGAATAAAGCCAGTCACACAGTGAGAGAAAAGAACATAGCATCCACAAAATCTTTCTTGTCCCGCACTCTCACACCCACCATCTCCTCTCTGATGGAGTAGTCTGCCGTCTCAAGGTAGCTGAGCATCTCGGCTACAATCTGCTTGGCGTTGCTCCGATCACACATGGCATACAGCAGATCAGCTGCCCTCTGTCGAACACTTACATCCCTCTCCGTCTGTAGAGACACAGAGAGACATACGGTGACAAAATGGATGACAAAATATGACATAGGTATAGACAGACCGACAGACAACTGTTAACTATGTGTAATTTGTCCTGTGCTACTGAGCAGTATACCTCAGTTCTACTGTATCCTTTTTTAGAGCCATGGTGTGTGGATGTGAAGTGAAATGAATGTACATGGGGTGACTGGTTAATGGAGACTGGTAGGACTGTTTTCACTGGCAAGGGTCCACCACACTGCTAAGTGACTGTCTTTAGTGTACAGTGTGAAGGAGCACCTTGAGGGCATTGATGACGGTCTCGATGTGTGTCTTGACGGCTTCATGGGAAAACTCAGAGCTGGCCAGAGTACACATGCTCTCCAGAGCCAGGTAGCGCAGGTTGGTCTCTCTGTGCTGCAGGAACTGGCCCAGCTGATTACAGGCCCGTACCAGCAGGTTTGGCTCACTGTAGAACAGAAACCAACACTTCACTGGTAGCCTTTTAAACTCTCAAAGTGTCATCAGATTGTAACAAAGCATACAGCAGGCCACAGTTAGCACTAAGCAAGACTAGCTGAAGTTTGATTTCATACTAATCACTTAAGAATATTTCATGGTTGAAAAGATGTTATTTTATAAAACTGGGCTGTCTGTAGGGTTGGGTACCGAAAGTTGGTGCTTATATGGAACCGATACCTATACAACCGATACCTACCGGACCGAAACAAAATGCACATTACGGTGCCTCCTTTCTGTGCTTTTTTTTTTTAAAAAAAAAAAATGCTATGTCTACCTCTATTGGACGTTACACGTAACAGAATCATTTATTCATTTGTTCATTTGTTGAGTGTATATTATCATTTAAAGGCACGCTAAGCACCGTTGTCACTTCTGTTTACATTCAACAATGTTATCAAACACAACAGAGCTAGCTCGCCCCTCCCCCCTTGTCCTCCGTGACTCTGTCATGAACGAGCAATAGCTGCTAGTTACCCTGGATTTACACACCTGTTCAAGGGTAGTGCACCCAACGTGAAAATTCTATTATCTACTCACCCTCATGCCAATGGAGGAACAGGTCAAGTTTTAGAGTCCTCACAACACTTGCAGAGATCCAAGGGGGGAGGAGGTAACTTAGCAACAAAACTCCACCTAATGGAGGCTTACGGCGCCCCAGATTCAAACGTCCAAAACAACATAATTGAAACCACAAAATTTCTCCATACTGCTTGTCCGTAGTGATCCGAGTGTCCTGAAGCCCCGATAAAAAGTTGTTTGGAAAAGGGACACGCGTTCACGTGTGCGCGCTTGCGCGAGACCATTAGACATGGGCACCACGCTCATGTGTGTGTGCTTGCTCTCGCTGGTCTCGCCCTTGCTGATTGGTACAGCCTGGACCCAAATGTTTTTGTTGCCATTTGCGGAGTCTGGGCTGCCTACAGAGACAAGACTTAATAATAGAGTTAATATTATTGTAATGTTAATTTGTTAAGTGTTTTATATTATATTTTAAATTTTTTTTTTTTTTTTTTTTTAGATAATTTTTTTGGGGCATTTTAGCCTTTAATCGATAGGAAACCTAAGTATGAAAGGGAGAGAGAGAGAGAGAGAGAGAGAGAGGGAATGACATGCAGCAAAGGGCCACAGGCTGGAGTCGAACCCGGGCCACTGTGGCAACAGCCTTGTACATGGGGCGCCTGCTCTATCCACTAAGCCACCGACGCCCCATTATATTTTAAAACTTGTTAATAAGAGTTCATAAACCTATGTATTTCTAGGTATTTATAATTTGCCTCAGCAAATAAATAAATAAAAACACTGTTTTTATTATAATTTCAAACTGTTATACAAAATACTCACACACTTCTGAAAGGTGGCCCATTTGTGTCACTTTTGAACCTCCATAAAAAACTCATATTTTGAGGTATCGGTTCAGGCATCGTTTAACCACTGGTACCGTAGTCTCGCCACCAGACAATCAGAGATCTCCGCCTTCTGATAGTCTGGGAACACTCCTTTGTAAAGTGTGTTTAACACACTTTAGAAAGAAAGCAACGCAAAGCAACAGCTCTTGCATTTTTTAAAAGGACACGCCCTCCCGGAAATGTGTGCTCCCCCTTTTCTTGTCCACAAGGAAACAAACACACAGAGAGCTTGAAAATGGATGCTGAGAGATTTAACTCCGTTTTATCAAACATGTGCTCAGTCCACAAGATTGTGGAAATGAAGGACTTACAGCGACTTTGTTTAAAACTTTTAACACAGTCAGACTATGTTTACGAGCACAAGAGTTCAGCTAGCCACCGAAGGACCGCCCTGCGGATTTACTATTGGTTCTGCAACGTAGGGAGTTTTTTTAAACTCTGAAATTGTATCCGCCCATATAAACACAAAATCAGGGAGAAAGACATCAGTCTTTAGTTAAGCAAAGTGTCTAAAGACTGACTTGTGAGTCTACCGGTACCGTTTTAAAAGTATCGGTTCTGCACCGATATCGGAAAAAACCCAAACGCTACCCAACCCTAGCTGTCTGTGCAGTAGAAAGACGCAAATACTTTTGAAATTGGTGCTAGACGTCCAGACAAAACAGAGGAAAAGAAGTTGTGGCATTTACTTCTGCTCAAGAGCTAGAACTCCTACAACTACCAGAATGCACTGTGCCGCACAACACAGATAAAAATTCCCACTGGTGAGTAACGTAATGCGAGCTGCTCGTCTGATAACAATATGGTGGCTGGTAGGGCTGTATCCAAATATTCGAATATTCGTTTCTATGGGTAGGTATTCGTTATGAAAATTTGGTATTCGATATTCGTTTTTTTATTTATTTATTTTTTATTTTTTTATTTTTTTTAACATTTTTTTGGTGCTAAATGTAGTCTTTTTGTTGTTGGTAAATGTAGGTTATCAATAAAAATCAAAACTTTTAAATTGCATCGTTAAAAATTTGAAAATATAGTATAGCCTACCAACTGAGCTTGTGCGCACGGCACACTTGAGCGCATCCGTCTGAGGCTGTGGATCAATGCCAAGTTTTACCACTTTATCACTATTCCCTCTAACTTGTAGCTGTTTTTTCGTTATCTTTTGAATTTAATATGAATTATGGAACTGTTTTTGTCAACGTTTGTTTCCCCCGTTTTGTACAATAAATTATTGTTTAAAGTTTCAACAAGTTTCTTTTGGAGTGCGTGACACAAGTGTGTTTTGAAAACGACCGCGGACTGTCACCTGCTCAACGCATCAGTACCTTCGGATGCCATGACAGTAATAGCCAATAATGTCAAAATATCATTTACAGACCGATTTAACAGACGATCACTGCTGCCCGACCCGCAGGTCCATTTGCGGGTCCCGCAGGTTACGGGTCGACCCGCGCATCACTACTCAGCTCAGTCTATAAGGCTGTACACAACAGTAAGGCTTTAGACATTATATTCTATTCAGGCCGGCAGAACCAGCAGCGCATCGGCTCTACAGTTCACGGCACTGCTGATTAACCATTTTATTGCAGCACAGAGTGTCTGCCAGCAACCAATTACATGCAGAGGCTTCCTACAACTTGTTTCAATTGGTTCCGATTTAATCAGAAGACAGAATGACTAGCCAATGTGAAAATCAAAAGAAAGCATAAAATAATGTACTGAAGGAGACTGTTGTGCCATCACATTTTTTTGTGGTTTGAGAGCAAAGATCCGGTTGCCGCTGTGCAAAACTCCGCAACAGAAATCAGTCCGAAAACCCCCCGGAGTGATACAGCTAAAAGAACTGCCAGAGAAATGTCCTTGATTTTAAAAATTTTATATGTATGAAAGCTGACATAATTTTTTGCTTGCTTTTACTTTTTTGTACAAAGCAGAAAATACTTTGAACTGTGTAGTACTAAACTGTGGAGTTAGACCTTTAAACAATTTTTTTTATCATTTGTGTCCAGGATTTTTTAAGTGGGGTGAAAAGCCTGCTCGATGATGCACTGGAACCATCCTTAACATAACCCCTTCCCTGCCTATAAAAATAAAAATTTTATAAAAATTTAAACTTTTAATGTTACGTACCAGGGTCCGACGTTAAGGTTTTTTCCTACTTGCCCTGCCGGGCAAGTACTTCTCAAATCTACTTGCCCCATCTAAATTCTTACTTGCCCTGCCTAAGAGGTTCTTTTTCTGGCTGTGTGGTGCATATTTTCGCTCATGACTTATATTTTACGTCAGCAAAGACGCTCAGCCAATGGAGGCAGCAGCACATAAAAAGCAGCACACAGCAACTGGCCCCTCCAAGGACAGAAACAGGAGAGGAAATACACAATTACAGGCCTGGAATTAAGTCATTTTTAAGGCAAGGCCACTTTGGCCTTTGATAAATACAAATTTATTGGGGCATCATGGCCAAAAAGTGGGGCACCAAGGCCAAAACCAATGGCGCAATAACAATATGTGCTAACTACATTGAATGAAGACAAAACAATATATGTGTTGAAAAACAGTACTGAGTTTATTAAAACTGGGTGTGCATGACTGGGGATATATCTCGTTTCTTGTTGTTTTGATTCATGTCCCTTATTTTTTAAGTCTTTGAAATCTCTGTTCTGTTGTTATCTCCTAGTTATTAAGAAATTATTATTAGAAGAAGATTCTTTATTGTCCTTTCTCAGCACAGCACTGAAACGAAATTTGACCTCTGCATTTGACCCATCCTACTGTATACACTGGGAGCAGTGGGCAGCCACAGTGCAGCGTCCGGGGACCAACTCCAGTTCTTTTGCCAATGCCAGTGGTCAGGATCACTGACAGGAGTATTCACCTAACATAGCTCACATATCTTTAATTATATAATTATTTATATGTCTCTATGTATATTTTTACATAAATCCCCAATATTTAATTTGCCTTTAAAAAAATCCTCTTCCTTCATTTAATTTGACAATGTTTATTGTATTGTATGTATTAATTCTCTACAGGATCTTGTATGTTCTTTAATGTGTGTTCAATTTATTAAAAGAAAAAAACAAAAAAAAAATTTGGTGAAACCTGCAGCAAAGTGAACCCTCTTCCTCAGAGAGGATCTCTGCCTCCCAGTTTGTTCCTGGCGACAGAGCAGAGTGAACCATCTTTCTTCTCAGAGGATCTTTGTCCCACGAGAGCAGACAGCATGCTGTTCTTATCTATCGCTCTGCTCTCTGTGTCCGCATTTAAAACATCTTTCGCTGGCGATTTGACAGTCACTAGAAGCACATTATGACCCTTTGTAAAAGTTTCTGTGTGGTATCTGTGTTCTACATGAGCTAACATTAGCGGGTAAAGACTTAGAGGCTGTCCAGTATGTGTGTGTGTCCGAGTCGGTGCTGCTTGCCCGATCGGGCATGTCTGCGCAGGGTCTGCTGGCCTGCCGGCTATTTTTACTTGCCCCGGGCATTCGGGCAACCGTTAATGTCGGACCCTGCGTACGTTACGTAAAATTTGTATTTTT